GACCTTGTCCCAAAATAAAAAATAAAGAGGGCTGGGGATATGGCTCAGTGGTAGAGAATCCTTGGATCTCTATTTCCAAAATAAAAAGGGTATAGGCATGTTCACGAAATCCAAAAGGCAGAAACAAGTGTGGACCATCCACATAGCAGAATGATTCAGCCATGAAAAGATAGGAAGTAACATGCTACAATGTGGATGGACCCGGAAAACACATCTCTGTGTTAGAGAAGCCAGCCACAAAAGGCTACATGGGTGATTCCACTTCTAAAAATGACCAGAACAGGAGCTAGAGCAGCAGGAAGTCAGGGGCTGGAAAGCAGAGGGGCGCCCTAATCCCCTTTGGGATGATGTAAATATTCTGGAACTAGACAGTGGCGGTGGTTGTATAGTTTTGTGAATGTACTAAGTGCCACCAAGTTGCATACTTTAAAGTGCTTTAGTGGTCAAGTTTTACATGTGATTTATACCACAATGAAAGCACATCAAGAACACAGGCTTCTCTGTGGTGTGTGCTGTGTGATCAGATGCTCTGGGTGCTCACTTTCTGCCCTAACTCACCTGTCAAGGTGCCCTTGTGGCTGATTGGTAGGTGGAGGGATTTAGGTAGGGGAAGCAAGGCAGGGCCAGGGAGGAGCAGAGGCCCTGCTTTGCTGTTGTCAAGTCTACAGCTGGGCCTGTTGGAACTCCAACTCCACTTCCCCCACCCCACCCAGTCCTTCCATGTCTGTTGGACTTCACTGGGTAGATGTTTCTTTGTAAAATGTCCCTACACCCCCGAGCTCCACCAACTCCCCACTTCAGACAAGCGGCTGGAGTCACAAGCCCTGTGCTCCCGAGCACCCTGCCTCTGGGGCCTGCCTTCCTTGGTGAGAGGTGGGTGGTGCAGTGTTCAAGGTCTTCCTGGGAAGTGCTTATCACCGGTGGAAGCTGTGAGGCTGAGCAGAGCAAAGGTGACAGGCTGCACACCCCACCTGGTACCTTCTGGGCAGGGGACAGAGCAGAGGGAGGAACTTTTGGCCTCAGGTGTCTGGCTGGACCCAGCAGGAAGGGTCCCTAAGGCCCAGGCACTCCCTGGAAGTGGGATGCAGTCAGTAAAGGAGATGGAATGTGGTCACTAATATTTCACCCACCCGGTTGCACATGGGAGACACAGCCTCCCAGCCCAGCCTGCTCCCTACTTCATATTCCTCACCTCAGCTACTTTTCAGGGACTAACACCTCCCCAGAGAAAGGGATGCCTCTAACAGCCTTAGGGACCCTCAAAGAGGGGCCTCCCCACAGACATGGGATGTGTAATGTCCTGTCCAGACTGCCCTTGAGGGACAGCTTCCTGGAGGAAGAGTCCTACCTTCCCTAGGCCTACCTTCCCCTTGCTGCAGGGCACAGTGCTCTTTTCAGTGACTTCCTGCATCTGTGAATGTGCTCATCTGGCCTCTCTGATGGGCCTGTTCAGGGCTGCCTGAGCCATTTCAAATCCTCCCATTAAAATGCTCCACTGTCCCTCAGAGAAACCCAGGGATGTGTTGCCTGCCATGCCTGCAGGTGGATCTGTTCCAGCCTGGGTGATTCCTTAACCCGTCACTTCAAATGCAAGCCAGTGGGAGCACTTGTCCCAGGTCCATGGCAGCCAGATGACTAAGTCTCTCCTCTTGCTCTCCTCTGCCAGCACCATCAGGTCTGTGTGACCTTGGGTCCATCTTGGCTGCCTGTTCCTCCTAGGAAGCACTTGTCATGGGTGGAGGCTGTGAGGCTGAGTAGAGGTGACAGGCTGTCCTCCTCATCTGGTACCTTCTGGGCTGGAGACAGAGCATAGGAGGAGCCTTTGGCCTTGGGGGTGGCTGGACCCAGTAGGAGGAGCCTCTGTGGCCCAGCCCCACCCCAGAAATGAGGTCTGGGGCAGTCCCTAGGGATGTTTCAGAGTGACCCCACTGCATCTGAGCCCAGTGTGGGAACAGAAGGTCAAGAAGGGTCACACTGCTTCCAGGGAGGAAGCCTGGCCCAAGACTGCAGGCCGTGCCAGGATCACTGGTCCTAACTGCCCAGGGCCAGCTCCTCAGAGAGCCAGTGTTCCAAGCGTCTCTGCAGCCACCTCTGCACTGGCCTAAGGCTAGGAGCCAGCAGGACCCTGGATGGGCAGTGACTCAGGGCCAGTGCAGCCTTTGCTGGTCCTCCAGCACCCAACAAACCCCTTTGTCCCTCTTAGTCCTTCTTGTAACTGGATACACATTGCAGAGCCTTGACCTGGAGTCCTTCACTCCTTGGCCATTGAGTGCAGCCACCCAGCTGTCCTTGCCCTTCCCATGTGGGCCTGAGTGGGGGGGGATCTGTTGGCCACCCCCCGTCCGGGCTTGAGGGCCACCAGCACCCTGGGGTCTGTGTGGTAAGACCCGACAGGATATGTCTGCCCAGAGGGTATTCGAGGACTTGGCTGGGGTGTCCTGGGAGGGGGATGAGGCTCCATGACTTCCTGGCTCCACTGAGGTCCACAGAGCTGCTGGGGAAGAGGGCACTGGGAGCTGCGCCCTGGGAAACCTTGATGTGGCCCAAGACTCAATTTTCCTGTCGTAAATGCAATTTGGAACAAACAAATCCAATACGCCTGAACACCACCTGTCCCTACATAGCTGGTAATGTGGCCCCATGGTAGCTGTGCCCATCCTGCCACCTCACAGGCCTTGTACCCACAGCCCTGATTCGCCCATGAAGTCTGGGCCATGCAGAGTAGGAAGATGTCAAGAACCAGTGCCAGGTACTGGGTGCCCAGGGCAGCCCTGTGCAGTTGCTGGTGCTATGCTTCCCTAGGTGGGAAAACTGAGGCTCAGAGGGCCCTGCCTGACCACACATGGATTCTTTCACCCTGTGGATGATTTTCCCCTCTGGACTGAGGATGAGACTTATGGGGAAAAGGCCTAGCCCCGTGGCCAATCCCAATCTATCTGCCTTCTTGCTGGAGGGCCAGAGCCTGCCTTGGGGACTGTCCCATTATCAGGAATCTGTGTTGACATTGGTCCTTTCCTGTTAGCCTGGGAGTCCCACAGGAGCAGGGCCCTTGGTGCCTGGATGCTGAGTGGAGGCTCACCGAGCTTGGCTCCAGCCGGGGTCATCCGCAGTCCCCTGGGCCTGCAGGCCAGGGACAGATGCTGGTAGTGCTCCAGCTGTGAGAAAAGATAGTGGGTAAAACACAGGCTGTACACGAAGGTGGGCATGGGTCCTGGGTGTGTGAGAAGGGCTGTCTGCCACCACCTGGGGAAACTGAGTCACAGAAGGGTTCAAGAAAGTTGCTCAGGTCCCCTTCAGGGATCTCTCACCCCTGAAGGACAGCAGGAACTCTGGCTTGGTCTGGGTCAGTGGAGGTCACAGGGCTGCTATCCCCTAAGCCCACATTTATGAAGCATCTACTGTGTGCCACACCGTGCAAATGCCATAGGCCCCCCTCCAGGCTACTTGTGGCCAGGCACACACATTGAAGACAGTAGTGTGGGGTGAGGGGCTGGCCACTGAGGGGAGAGAACACCAGGAGGGCACAGGGTGAGTCAGAGGAGCCTGGGGCCCCTGGGGCTGGAGGACAGGATGAGGACAATGGTGAAAGAGGTGTAGAAGGGGGTGCAGCTGCGGACCTGTCCTGGAGTAGGGGAGCGCATTTCCTACTAAGACTGCGGGGGTGAGATGGGTGGTGGGGAGACGCACACAGACGAATGTTCAGGGAAACCAAGAAGGAGGGGAAGTCAGAGAACAGGTGCAGGACAGCATTCCACGGCCAGTGCCGCCCTCTGCTGGCCATAGTGGGTATCGCCCTGGGCTGGCTCCCAGGGTCCCAGGATAGACCCCAGGCGCTTCTTGAGGACCTGGCCACAAAGCGCAGCCTTGAGTGGCCTTGGGACAGCCACCCCGGACAGGATTTGACTCCTCCTAGTGAGGTAGATTTGGGTGACATTTGGATTTGACCCAGATGTCAAATCCAGCACCCTTCAGAAGGTATACCTACTGGGCCAAGAAAGGAGGGTCCCCCACTGGGACCTGAAAGGAGGAACAAGGGTATGCAGAGGGGATCCTGTCCCTCAGGCAGCATCCCCAGGAGTAGATGGGTCAAGGGTTCCTTGGGAGCTTCCCTAGGCTCAGCCCCCGCCCCCAAGTAAGGACAGAGGGCAGAGGCAAATAAGTCTTTCTGCCCCCCAGGACCACGAAAGGCTCAAACTGCTCAGCAGGGTCTCATCATGGATCTACAGGGTGGAGAGCAGACTGGTTTAGGTCACTGGGGCTGTGAAAGGAGCCACTGTTAGGGCTGTGGAGGTCAGCAGCATAGTCACAGTTGGTACATGACCCTGAGGCTACCCCACACCCCCAGCTCCTGTGTCCCAATAGGACTCCAGTAGGCAGAGCCTCATCCCTCTGGCTCACAGCTGAGCACAGAGCCTGCACAGGACAAGGACTGAGAACAGTCCTAGAAAGAAAGGACAAATGAGCCAATGAAGGGGACTGGGCTTCAGGGGCTGAGACTCAGAGGGCCAGGACTGGGCCCAGGACCCTCTCAGTGATGTGACCCCGGGCTGCTGCTGCTTAGGCCATATTTGGGAAGAGACACGAAGGGCTGTGGCCACCTGTCCCTTTAAGAGGGCAGTTCTGCCACCCCATAGTGGGGGAGGGGGATCCTGTTGCCCAGCAACAGGAAGCCTGGTGTGTACTGTGCCCCTGGGTGACCAGAGCTTTGTCTTGCTCTGGGACAGAGCTGCAGGTGCTGCCCTGCTGACCACCCAGTGATCCTCCCCTTGATCCTCACCCTTCCTGGGCTGAGCGCTGGCACTATGGCGCAGACAGATGTGCTCCTGACCCGGCAGCCCGCCCCGCAGACGGTACCACCCTGTGCACTGCCGCCCAAGGAGTATGAGGTGGCTTGCAACACAGGTGTCCACACATCCTCTGGCCTGGCCACCACTGGCTTCCAAACGGCCAAGTACCTGGTGGACGAGTGGTTTCAGAACTGCTATGCCCACTACCACCAGGCACTGGCTGACCGAGACACATCGGAGCAGCAGCGGCATGAGAGCCGGCAGCTGGCAGCAGAGACAGAGGCGCTGGCTGAGCACAAGCAGCAGGACTCCACACGCAGGCTGGGAGAGCGCTTGCAGGATGCCCACTGCTGGAAGTCAGAGCTACAGCAGGAGGTGGATGCACTGGCCACAGAGACTGACCTGCTGCAGGCCCAGAAGCAGCGGCTGGAGTGTGCCCTGGATGCTACCTCCCTGCCCTTCTCCATGGTGATGGACCACATGCAATGCCGTGAGCGCCGCCAGCATCCTGACCTTGTGCGTGACCATGTGGAGATGGAGTTGCTGAAGGTATCGCCCCTCACCCCCGAGGCAGGGTGGGCAACCGTGTTGGAGGTAGTTCAGGGGGACAGCTCAGGGGTCCAGGGAGCAGTGCTCTACTGCCCACTTAGGGCTCCTGGGTGCAGGAAACCTGGTTCTTCTGTCACAGAAGAGTTTTTGCCCCCATAGACTCTTGACTTCCAAGTAACTCCTTTTGGGACCCCCTCCTCTCTTTCAGCCCATGTGTTTGAGGAAATTAAATCTGGCCCTGACCTCCCTGAGGCCAAAATACAAGGTTCCCCCAGTCCCTCTTTGCCATGGCTGGGATATTTGCTGTCATGGTAGAAATCCAGAGACACAGCTAGTTGCAGTGCATACCTATAACCCCAGCTCCCTGGCAAATTGAGGCAAGGAGGTTGAGAGTTCAAGCCCAGCCCGGGCAACTTAACAACTTAGCTAGATCCTGTCTCAAAATAAAAAATAAAAATGGCTGGAGATATAGCTCAGTGTAAGGGCCATGGGTTCAATCCCTAGCACGAAACACACAAAGAAGAAGGAAAGAAAGAAGAGAAACGAAACCAGGCACAGGCCAGAGTACCAGGAGTAGAGGGCCAGGCTGGACTGCGGTAGCCTGGGGGCTTGGGCTCCTTAGAGGCCCCAATAAGCTGATGTCCCTCAGTGCTTTAGATGGACTTTAGGTGTAACCCTAGAGCCTAGGGGTGGGTCTGTCAAAGGGTGACCCTCCCAGCAGCCCCTAGAAGTCCCTGGAAGAAAAACCCCATCAAAAAGAATATACCAAAAAGAATGATCAAAAGCCTGGACTCTAACCAGGAAGAGCTGGCCCTGTTCTCCAGGAAAAAAGACTATGGTGAGGCCAATGGTAGTGGCAGGAGGTAAAGATGACAGGGCTAAACCTCAGTTCCCCCTGGTGTGTGAGGGCCGACCATGTGTAGCCCCCGCTGGTCAGGAGGGGCCTCTTCCCCGCCCCCTCTTCCCCAAGGAGGCCGAGCTCATCAGGAACATTCAGCAGCTCCTGAAGAGAACTATCCTCCAAGCTGTGGACCAGATACGGTAGGTTGAAGCGGTCTCCAGGGGGCTATGCATCAAGGGACACACCGCTGTGGCTCTGGGGGGAAGGGGCTGTCAGAGTGGAAGCACATCCAGGCTTAGCCTCTATCCCAAGGCCCACAAGCACGGGGTGGGGGTGGGGGTCCTGGACACCCCCCCACACCTGGCTGGGCGAAGCCTAGCTCCATGGCGGCCCTGCTGTCTCTAGGCTGAACCAGGAGCACAAGGAGACTTGTGAGAGGGACTGGTCTGACAAAGTCGAAGCCTACAACATCGATGAGACCTGCTCTCGCTACCACAGCCAGAGCATCGAGGTGCAGCTCCACCCGCACTCAGCAGCCTTCGAGGAGAGGTGGGCCCCGGGGCCCCTCCTCGCCCAGCCCACTGGGCCGTGCTGTCTGCTCCGGGAGGGGCCGTGCGCAAGACCCCTGCTCAAGGGTGCAAAAGGAATCAATCACCCCAAGGGAAGTGGGCGGAGCGAGCCCGCGTTTGCGCGTACGGCCGGCAGGTGGCGCGCGGCTGACGCCAGAGCCAGCGCAGACAGAGGGAACCGGAGGGAGACACTGGAGAGGTGGGCGTGGGGGTAAGGGAACTTGGTGTAAGGGAACTTGGTGGGGTGGGGACCCGGACCTGCACCCCGACCTGGGCCAGGCCCGCCTACCCGCAGCGCCTCCACGCCCGAGACTTGGGCGCAGTTCACGCAGGACAACCTGCTCCGTGCTGAGCGCGAGCGCCAGGCCTCAGCCAACCTGCGGACGCTTATCGACGCCATCCTTCGGGACACGGCCGAGGACCTGAGGCTGCAGTGCGACGCTGTCAACCTTGCCATCGCGAGCCGCTGCGAGGAGCTGGAGGATGCGCGCCACAAGTTGCAGTACCACCTGCAGAAGGTGCAGCTGGCCTACGCCTAGGCATGCCCAACCGCAACAGACGTCCATTCCGCATAAAACATCCCTACTTACTGGGGACATGCCCACCCTTCCAGAGACACATGGAGACTCCCACTCCAGGACGCACCCACCCTGCCCAAGACACATCCCTACCCCGGGATGCCCACCCTTGCCCTAGATACGCCCCACCCTGCCCTGGATACACCCACCAGGGACTTGCCCCCAGGGACACACCCACCTAACCCCTGGACATGCCCATTCAATCGGCGATACGCCCACACTTCATCCAGGATTCTGGTGGCCCAGCAGCGCTTGACTGTCCAGCCTCACCCCCTGACCTCCTTCTGCCCTGCCCACCCTGAGGGACCCCAGAAACAAGCATCCACATCCCTCTGGACCCTCATTAAGCTGGTGTAAACCCAAGTTTCACTTGGGGGTGGTCTCCTGGCATTGCCACCCTGAATGGCTAACTGGGAGGGCTGTCACTGTGAGCACCATGCAGAGTGGGCAGGCAGAGGAGGTTTGGGGTGTGGGATGCCTTCCTCCCCCCACCCCCCCCAGTCCTGGCCGGCTAGCAGGGCTGTGACTCTAGGTTCTTGGTGTGACTTGTACTACCTTCACATCCACTGAGTTCTTGACCAGGGCCTAGGACCTGCTGGTCACCAAGGCTGGAGATTCTCAGGCCAGAGCTAGGGTAGCAGCTGCAAAGCCCTCACCAGAGCCCTTTGGGTGCTGGACATGTCCTAGGGCTCAGGTGTCTCCAGTCAGGACTTAGATCCGGGGAGGCAAGGAGGAGGGGTTGGACTGGGAGCCTGGGTGTTGAAGAGTGGGATCTGGCCTGCTTGCCCTGTCCCGGCCTGGCTGGGGCCTCATGATACTATTCTGCACAGACACTGCGGGAAATCACTGACCGGGAGCAGCAGATTGCAGTGCTAAAGCAGGCCATCAAAGACAAGGAGGCACCTCTGCAGGTTGCCCAGTCCCGCCTGTACCAGCGCTCTCAGAGGCCCAACGTGGAGTTGTGCCGAGATGCTGCCCAACTCAGGTGCCTGCCAAGACCTCTGGATAGTCCTGGGTACCCCGTGTCCCCCTCAAGCCTCTCTCAGTTTCAGGGGCTCTAGAGAAGCAGGCCTCACACACCTGATCAGACCTGGACACTGGGTGCCAGGGCCATGTCACCCTGGGCTGTGTCATCTTCCAGAAGGAGACTCAGGATCTGGCAGGCTTGGCTCCTGAGGCCATGGGGCCTGGCAGGGTTGTCTGACATGACAGTGTGACCCACATCCCTCCCCAGACACAGAAGACTTTTGTTCCTAAATTACTGAGTGCCCGGTTACCTTTCTGACTACAAGTGCCCCCTTCTTTGTCCTCTCTTGCACCTGTTTGTTCAAGGAACTGGGACTCTCACTCAGTTCCAAGGATCAGTCTTTGTGCAAACATCAGGGATACAGCCTGGTCTGGTGCCACTGCTTGTCCCTCCTTCCCTGCCCTGGAGCAGCTGGAAAAGGCGCTCCTTGGGATCAGTTTGAAGACACACTTAATTCATACTCAGGTCTCCGGGGGTCCATTGAGGGGGCAGCACATTCCTTTTCCCACAGTGCTGTGGGCCACTTCATGTGGGTCTCATCCCTCCCTGGCTGAAAAGCTAGACAGTCTCAGGCTCTGCTCTGCTCTCTTGCCTGGAACCCCACAACCTCATGCTGCCTTCCAACCCACAGGCTGCTGAGTGAGGTGGAGGAGCTGAACCTGTCCCTTTCCCTGCTGCGGGAGAAGCTGCAGGAGGCCCAGCAGGCGCTGCACAACCTGGAGGACACCCGCATGTGCCTGGAGAAGGACATTGCTGTCAAGACCAACAGCCTCTTCATCGATCGACAGAAGTGCATGGCCCACCGCACCCGATACCCCACTGTCCTCCAGCTGGCTGGCTACCAGTGACTTGGAACTGCTGCACTATTCTGCCCTCAAATAAAGAGTGTGTTAGCTTTCTGTCTCTGTGTGTGATCCGGATGGAATCTGTAGTTACTGTCCATCCAAGCAGGTGTTTCAGTCCCCTAACCAACCAGCAGACCCCACTGACCCACCCAGGGGAGATGCGGGGTTAGAGCTGAAGACCAAAAGTCCCCAGGCCTCAGAGGACACGAGGAGTCCAGATGAGGACAGGAGCTCCCACCAGCCTAGCCCAACTGTGGTTGCTGACATGTGTCCACCCCAGGCAGGGCTGTCCAGCTTACCTCCCAACCAGGCTGGCTGCTCTGTACTATCACCAGCAGTCTCAGGTGGGCATCAGTTGGTGTCATCATATTGCCCCTCTTGCCTACACCCCCAGGCCTGGCCTCAGCTCCTGTGTCCTCAGAGTGACTGCTCAGTCCACCTGATGTCCCTCCTGCTGCTGAGTGGATCCCACTTAGAGAGATCCTTAAGGCCACACCTCAAGTGCCTAATTGAATCCCAGCTCCATCTTGCCACCCTGGGCCCCAGACTCATAGGGTACATTGGCCAGGACACTGGAAGATCTCTCCAGCACCCTTAGATGGGACCCAGGAAGGGGGCCTGATCATACCCCATGAGCATGGGTGTGGTAGCGCCTTGTCAGGCCTGGTGTCCTCCTTGGGATGTGTGTGAGTAGCTCAGGCAGCCCCAGCCTCCTGCTTCCTAGAAGGGCTTCTCCCCCAACCTCTACAGGGGCAGCTAGTTTGAGAGGCTTCCATTCCACCCTCCAGTGAGACCATTCTGGGTCAAACGTCACCTCTGTCCCCACGGAAACCACACTGCTTGTCACAGCTGTTGGTCACCACAGCAACAGCCGGAGCCTGCTCTCATTCTTGGAGTGTCATTAAAATTTGCCCCGGGTACTGCCACCATGAGGCCCAGCAGTGGGACAGTCTAGGGCCCAGGGCTGGCAGAGGCTTTGGGACCTATGCATCACATGGCCTGGTCCCCGGTACCCTGTGGTGGGAGATTGGTAACAGGTTGCAGGACACACAGCTGCTAGGCCATCCTGCAGGCCTTGGCCAGTTAATCTCATGTCCACGCAGCTCCTCAAAGCCCCTGGGGCCACCAGGCAGGCCCAGGGCTGCCAAATGTCCTTGGTCACTCCCAGTAGTCCATACCCTGTTAAGGGTGGACATCCATCAGGACAGGCGGCTGGGGGCTCCACTTCCAGACACATCGGATGTCATGCCAAGGGGGAAGTGTGGATGTCCAGAGCCCCACTGCCTGTCTGGGGAGGGCTGGGAATACTGCACACTGTCCCTGTCCTGTGTCCTCGCTGGCCACAGTTGAGGGGGAGCAGTGGCAAGTGCTTGCGGGAGGGCAGGTGGTGGTGAGGACTTCCACCCCCATCCTTGAGGTGCCTGCCCACCTACACTGGGCCAAAGCTCCTCGCCAGGGCTCTCTCAGGGAAGCCTGAGAGAATAGGCTGCACGATAAAGACTGCCTCTCAGCTGTCATTATCGCCTCCTGCTGCACACGGTTTCATCAGCGCTGAGGGCCCTTGAGGGTGGCGGGCTGATTTGCAGACAAGTGGGCAGTACACTGGACCTGGTCCTGGGCGAAGTTGATTATCTCTGATGGTAGATGGGTGGCATGGGTGGGTCTTCTGCACCCCTACCCCAGGTGGACAGGAAACTGCCCCTGTTGGTGACAGAACACATCTCAGCTCCAATGCAGGAGGGCAGGTGAGCTATATCTGTAGGCCCTGGTCCTGCAGATGATAGTGATGAGATTCTCCAGCCAGACAGACCCTGAGCCAGATGATGGACTACGAGAGGCCACCTGCCTTTACTGAATGCCCCCATGACTCCCAGATTGCCAACCCCTTACCTCTGTGACCATCTGAACAGAGGCAGCTGCTGTGTGCCCAGAGGCCCCTCTGTGCCCTTATCTACTGCAGAGATGAGATACAGCTAGGTTCAGGAAGGCCTCTTGGCCACTGGATCCCAGGAACAGGGAGAGTGGTCAGGCATGACTCAGGCTTCCGCAGTGGGCAGGAGGGTTGATGTTCACCCTGGGCTGTCTTCCCACATTAGCCTACACCCCTGTCTTCTTGGACTGGAAGCTAAGGACAGAGGGTGCAGTGGTTACCTTGGCAGCCATCAAGGCTTAGTGATCTCATTAGGACAGGGTGAAAAGGGTGGGCTGCTCCTGGCTGCAGCAGGTCACCCCTCCCTGTGCCACTGTACCACCCCAAGGGACCCCTGTCAGCAGCATCGTCCACCTGAGCCTAGACACAGGTTGCCCTGCATACTGGGATTGCTCTCAGCTTCCTTCCCAGTACCCCAATTTCCCTGTCTGTGGAAACTCCCAACCAGGGCCCATGGTCACTCTTGGGCAGCAAGTGACTGGCCCAGGACCCACCCTGGTGCCCCCAGCAACAGAGCCCATCATCCACCTTTTCCTGGACTGGCAGCCTTGCCCAGCTGAAGTGCGGTCTGTCTTCCTCTCTATCCATCCATGGCCCATGCTCGGGCTAACTCTTCCCGGACATTGACACTGCAGCCCTTATATTGCTGAGCCCTCCCTGCTATCCTGGTCACTCTAAGCAGCTTCCCAGGAACACGGGTCACCCCCACCATCAGAGAAGGATCTCAAAGCCCACAGGAGGGGGCAGATGCCTAGGGTGCCAAGGGTGCCAAGCCCTTTCCTCCTTCCCCACCCCCACCCCCGCCTTCCCCAGTGGCATAGGCTCCCATCTCCACAGCATGAACTTCCTGGGCTCCAGGTGGTAGGGGTCAATGAGGGGTACAGACAGCCCCTCATAACACTGCAGGATGTCTCCTGCAGGGACCACAAAGGCACATTGCCCCATTGTCAAGGAGATGTCATCCTTTACATCTGAGCCAGAGCCATTTCTGTCCTGAGATTCATCATTCTGTCTTCACTGCATCATCCTCTGTGAGCTGACCCACAGGGCTTGGGCACTGTCCCCGTGAGCCCTGGCCCAGATAGACCCTCCCAGGAAGGGTGTAGGAGCAATGGGCTCCTCCCTGGGCCACCAGACCTGAGGGATCCAGCATTCCTTCCTGAGCCATTTACTTACTCCTTGACAGCAGTCCATGCTGGCCCCACATGAGGACATGCAGGGAAGCCCCTGCTCTTTGGGGACAGTTCTGCTGGCACTGGGGAGAGGGACTTGGACCATGAAGATTCCTGTAGCTGGGTGTTACTGTCCTGCAGGCTACAAGGGAAACTTCCAGCCACTTCCCACCTGCCACTGTTATCACTGTTACACAGAGGGAGCTGAGGCCCAGACCTGGGAACCTATCTTTTTTGGGAACCCCCACAGCCCCAGGGCACTAGCCCCAGAAGTGCTAGTCCTGCTCTTGCCCTCCTAGGGCCTGCAGGGATGTTGTGATGAGGGCTCAGACCCAGCTCCTGCTGTCTACATCCAGCTGGAGCTGCAGGCTGGAGAGCAGTGGATGAGTCAGCTGAAGGGACCCTTCACACCCATCCTTGTCTATACCACCACAGCTAACACTGGGCAAAAAGCAGCTAAGAGGGAGGGGTGGGTGCTGTCCGGCCTGCTGGCCCCTGAGGACTGGTGTGAGCTACTTTCCCTGAGGCCAGCAGCCCTGGCCCCCAGCCCTCATCAGCCCCTGCTTGCCCTTTGGCCTCCCAGCAGGCCCCACAGACGGCCCTTTCACGCTCATCATTCCCTCTCATTCGGTCACTGGTGTGGGCAGCAAGAGGCAGGCCAGTGGGGGAGCTGGAGGCTGAGGTAGGACGGGCTGGTAGGGAGGCCAGGAGCCAAGCGAGACCCCGAGCCAAGCTGCATCACCAGATGGGCCAAGCTGTCCCAGCTCCTTGGCCATGTCTGCACCTCCCCCATGGGGGTCTGCCCCAAGGGGATAGTCCCCTGACAGTTGCCGTATCCCATGTCCCCATGTTTGGGACCAAAGTGCTCAGCTCTCCCCTTGGGCCTAGGGTCAGAGCGGAGAAGAGGCTGGACCCTGAGTGGGCATGACTCTCGCTCACAATAGACACAGCCACACACCCCGCCCCATGACTGGAGACTGTGAGTCATTCCTGCTATCCACTGCTGAGGGCACAGTTGTGTTCCCCTGAAAGGCTGAGTTGGTGCCAAGACCTCTAGGGGTGTCATGACAGGGGTGTGTGTGTGTGTGTGTGTGTGTGTGTGTGTGTGTGTTTGTGTGTGTGAGAATGAGCTTGACCAGACTCTGCCCTCTGGCAGGCCAGCCCAAGACACCCCAAGCCCAGACCTTCATGGGTCCTGGGGTGATACAGGGTCTGGCATGAGGTTCCTAGAGGCCCTGCAGATGGCTGAGGGTGAAGGGGCCCCTCAAGCATCCTGCCTAGGAGTTGGCCAGGCCTGTTGGTCTCGGATGGCCCAGGGGAAGCCACAGGCACCAAGGGGTGTGAAAGGCCCCTTTCACTGGCTACCATGGATAGTGCTTTGGGTGGGAGCCGGCCAGGCAGGCAAAGCCTCGCAGCCATGAGACGTGGTAACAAGGAGCTGGGAGCGGTGGGGCAATGATCTTCACGGTGTCCTTGGTGGGCATGGCTTCTGGTTGACTGTCTGCTGGACAAGGTGCAGAGGGACCCAGAGCTCAAGGGATGAGTCCCTAGGGGGCAGGTTTCCCCGTGGGAATCTTCCTATGGGGCTGTCCCCATGTACACACCTGGGAGCAGCCAGGACAGTCTTGCTGGATCCACAGGGGCTGAGGGCAGATCAGAGCTGCAGGGCTCTGGAGAGCTTCAGAGAGGATCTGAGCCACCAGGGCCTCCTGGGGTGGGTGTCAGAGTACAAAAGAGGTGGGACTGTCCCAGTCTGCAGTTCCTGAGGGCCTGGGGGTGGGGGCTGGTCTTTGCCAAGCAGGGCTGAGTGTGGGGCAATTCCAGGACCTGAACTTCACACAATATCCCAACCCTAGGTGAACCTCAGGCAGCCTTTAGACATGTCCTGTGGGGACCAGGCAGAGCCCCCTTGCCAAGGAGGAAACTGAGGCCCAGGCTCACTGGGGGAAGCCTGGA